TTGGAAGCAGGTGACAAAGAACTGAGGGTTGGGCAATTAACAAGGAAAACACCGACATTGTCAGCGAGTATCAATATTGTCTATTATTGACTCCTATGCTTTCATTTAAGAAACACCAACGGCAGAAAGTAACGCCAGCAAAATTTGTCATGAGTTCAATGCTGTATTGTCTGGGTGTATGCTAAAGTTGCGACGGTACAGTGTTTGTAAGAAAGTTATTTTGGCTACTAAGTAAAACCCATGATTACATTATTCACTTGGTATCTATCTACACCATGAGCTTCCATATGAATTATATCGTAACGTTGCTAATATGGCAGATTCTTAGTGGAAACCATAAAAAGAACAGTTGTCTGTGCAAAAATTGGTAATCTAGCTGAAATGTATGTTGTTACCAATAATTTCAATCCCTTTCAACCTAAGGTGCAAGTGCGACAAAGATATTGTCCGGGTTCAAAGAGGAAAAGAAGCTTCTTTCGGTTGAAGAGCGGTGGCTTCTGAAAACTATTCATTTGGCAGTGGACTAGCTCCAAATGTGAAACGTGCCAGTCCACTAAGGGAACGTGCAATGGATTTGTACACCACAAGATGTTTGAGCTTCATAGAGAACTTGTCACGTTAAACATTAAGCCTTAAGGATACATTAAGGATTAAGGATACTGATGACTCTGATTCCTGTAGATGTTTTTGACTATGATTGCTCTTTCTTTTTTAGGTGATAGTTAAGAGAGCAGTGCCCGGTAAAGAGACATACAATTGTCCTTCATCTTCCCTTTTGAGAGATTTATAAATCTCTGAGCTTGCCTCTCACCTGCTTCTGTTCAGTGCTTTTTTTTCTCAAGCCATTTTTCCAGTTATAACTTACACTTGTCAAAAATTGTTACTTTGAAACGAATCTACAATTACAGAAAGGTCGAATATTTAATAATGTCTAACGTAATAATAATGGACAATAATGTCCAAAAATATTTAGTGATAAATGTGAATTTTTATCTTTCACTGGATATACTGAAGTACATACTTAATTATTTACTTTGTTTTCAGAATATTTTTATATATATAGAACCTTTGTTAGTTAGAGAAGGCTTTTTTTTTTTTTTACTCGAGGACATGGCTCAGTATTCAACACATTTGCATTCTTGACAATATGGGCAATTGTGATGATGAAACACTATTGAGAACTAATTTTAACTCGTCTGAAGTACACGTTTAAACTACGAATAAGCTGTTATTTCATTTAGTTTTGACTATTCCCAAATTGTGTACTTTTTAAGATTTAATCATACTTGCTCAAGTTTTTCACATATTCCCATGCTTTTTTTCGTTTTGGCGCCTTTATTGTAAGCTAACGTTCAATTTTTCGTTGGTTCGATTCTGAGTACAATAAATCGTGAGCCTGCAAATGAGAAATATTACCTTTGATAAAATAGATATAAAAGCTTCTAGCGAGGTTCTACCATGATAATCGATAGTTACTTATTGTTTAAACCATCGAAGAGAGCCCATGATTCTATTTATTCATAATATTGACTTTTTCCGGAGTGAATTAAGACTTTTTCAGTTTTTCCCTGTCCGGAAAAATCATGTTTTCACCCTTCAATGTTACAAACCCATCTAAAGATTTTGAAGTATATGTATAGTAGTATATAGTAGTATTGTATTGTACTTTGTAAAAGGAAATCCTCGTTTCAAGGAGGACTTGTTTCGAATTTAACTCTATCGGCACTCAATAACAGTGTTGAAATTGTGTTTCACAAATACTTAATGTTAAAGAGAAAATTTAGATCTGGACTGGTCTTCTCCGGATCTTAGGATTTGGGAACCTTTTCTGATTTAGGGTAATCCACTTAGCCACCCTTTCATAACCGTGTTTAGAACCAACCCTAAAGGGGACTTTTAATCAAGCCGTATTAATTTATCGAATTAGGAAAATACTGAAAGCCGGGTCGCTATTAACCGGGACCTGGCACGTCATGTTTTATATCAAGTTTCTTTCAAACAGTTTGGAATAAACCTCGTATACATTTTCATTTTAATTTTGACCGGCTGAGAATATGGTAATAACAAAGAAACTGATTTTTTCCGGGTTTAAATCAATTTAAGAGACCCCATTAATTTTTCTCTCTTGAATATTCCTCCGTTGGAACCCGTAGCCTATTTATTATCTGGTAACAAAAGGGTGACAACAGGCCTCTCCAGTCCCAATAAATCCTCGCTAATTACAGCTTTTTAAGCCTGTTAAGCTAAATAAACCAAAGTTAATTATCACAGTGCGTTCTACAAATGGGTGAAGATCAAATTTGGCTAGAGTATCAGATTCTTTCAGCGGAATCAGCTGTAAATTATATACATAAATATATTTACAGCAGTTTGCTATACAGATTCATTGATTTCTATTGATCTGGTAAAACAGGGACGCTTATCGATAATCATGTTCTCCTGGCATAAATACTTGGAAATTAGATCCTGAAAATAGAATTAAAAAAATAAAATAAAAAAACTGCCCGACTGGTCCAAATATTGATTTATATATATTTTGTTATGTTATTTGATCTAGTTATTAATAAGTATTTCCAAGCCTATCCAGCTAATGATACACTGTTGGTTGTATTCATCAATCAATTGTAGTCATGAAAAATTAACAATGGAATGATAATTTATTCAGTACGTAAAATTTTGTAAGTTTCCAGAATGTGACTAATGACTGAAGTCTAAATGATGGAGGATATGTAGATCAAAAACCTGTTGGCAATCAATGTTTCTTCATGGAAAGTTCCGATTAGTCAGTCGTTTTCTGAAAACTTTGAGTACAAATATATTTGTACACAGACGTGACTTAGACGTCGAAGAGGATGGATCACGAGATTACTTTGTTTATTTTTGTCCGAACTCGAACATCGAATGGAGCAAGGAGTTCTGGACTATTTATTATATTTGTCATATTTATTATATTTAATCCATTTTAAGTTCTTATTATATTATTTATTCTATTTATTTATAAATTATTGAGTTATAAATGTTCATGAGTGTGCGGGATCCGGGGGACGATCGTCCGGAAATATATAATGAAGAACCGATGACAACTTTTTTTTACGAGGGTTCGCAACAGCAGAGTTGAAAAAATGCCCATTTGTAAGAGTGTCGGGTTCGAATGCATGGCCGCTGGATTCGAACCCAGGACCAACGCTTAAACCGTTTCGGCCACCGACGCCCCCTCAACAGATAGAGTCCATATGTAATATTTATAGAAAGCCTTAACCAAAATGTGGGCAAAATGCATGCAATGAAAGTGGGTAGAATATAACCCAATCAAACTTCAAATATAGTAGTGCGATCATCAACATGGGCAACAAAGGAAAACCAAATACAAAGGAAAATTTAAGACATATACAGTAGCAAACGCTTTAGTCAATTTCGGTGTGTTAAAAGATCACAACTTGACGGCCTTCATTCTTCATCTATAAAAGGCAAGTGGTAAACGTAGATACGGATTTGGCGGAGAAAGAAATACTATCAGAAATTAAAACAAATATTCCCGTCAAAAGTGTAAAGAAAACAGAAAACTGATGTATTCGAAAAAGTAAAAACTAGGCCCTTGTATCGTAACGTTCGAACCTAACGATTATCGGAATGTGTATCCTTCTACGGAGTAAGATGTCGAGGTGATCCGTATATTTTCCCTGTGAGAAAATGTATGAAATTTTTTTCGCTATAATCATTTTAAAAATCTATGTCGTGCTAAAAGCAGATGTTAGGTGTGTGGACTGACGCATGGTGAAGATGAGGTCTGTTTACGCATTGTAAAACGGAGAACAGTAAGGGAAACCATAAAGCTTCGGATAGGTCTTGTCCAGAATATACAAGACTTTCCTAACATAAAAAAATGCATTTTAATTAATTAACATTTTAGTTATCATGTGGGAGGTTATTACGTTGGGAGTTGAGCTTCTCCATACTAAAATTGTCGACTGTTGTCAAACTAGGAAAAACTTCTTATATTTAAAAAAACTGAATCGATAAAAAAAATAAGATTAATTATAATTTTGTCACAATAAAATGAAAACAACTCACTTATATTTATACAAACAATTAAGTAAACAAATTAAAGCGTGATTAATTAAGAATAACGTACGTCTTATATTTTTGGATATCTTCTTTTCTTCAAGACAAAAATATAATGATTTAAAAACAAAACTTTTTGGTGGACGCCAACAGACGCAATCCGGAACAGAATGACTCTGCTTAGGGAATATATGGAACTATGTCGATATACTAAAATGCTAGCCTCTAGTTTGAACCTCAGGTGCCAACTACAGAATAGGCACAAAACATATAATAAATATATCACCGGACACATACCTAGAAGTCTGGTCGAACCCATTCCATTCTCGCCAATAACTTACTTCTACTCCCCAGACGTCACAGACTCACCCAGAGTACTCGATATTTCTCGGGGCGGGGTTAAACAACCCCCCTCCTTTCACGCCAATTTATTATATTCATGGCTATAAATTAATATAAGCACATACCCTATACAGATATAGAAGTGGTCACATTCACACCTCGAAGTATATTCCTCGAGGCGTGGCCCAAACCATTCTCGATAATAACTTACTTTTACTCTCCAAAAGTTACTCACTCACCCCAGATAACTCGAGCTTCCTCGGAGCAGGATTAAACAACCCATATTAATTATAGTCCTATGTTCCTGTTGAAGGGTTAAAACGGACTTATTCTGTAATGCAAAGTTACGGAATATCGGTGTTTAGTCAGTTTATAGGATAAGTTCAATTAAAAACGGGCATGTATAGGCTCAGAAACGACTTGACCGAAGAACCTTTCATTCCAGAAGGCCTCAGGATACAGTTGGCCAAAATGATATGATGGGTGCAGTACGTGAACTCGTACTGGAATTATTGAATTATTTGAAATATGAAAACGAAACCTTTTCAGGGTTTGCTGATACTTATTTGAACAGATGAGTAACTGACATGGTTAATTCAGTTTAGAATCGATCATTATTCATTGTTTATAAGTTTATTCTTAAAAAATTAAGAGATAGTAGTATTGATGCGTACATGACTAGTATGTGAGTGATTGTTGATGATCCATCGTTCATGCACCGTTCAACCCATTCGATTGACGTGTCGATCCGAGCTACGATGGTAAGCTGATTTTTAGTGCATTTATGAATGTAGCTCGAGGTGGAAATGATGCCCCACAAATAGGATTGTATGAAGACCGGATCACCGTCATCGTTCTTGCAGGCAGAGACGTTGGTCGCCAAAACATTAAAACATAGTTTGTCTTTAGCGCTTGAATCCAAGTTATGGAGGTTGAAGAATTGGTGGCAGTCTTCCCAAGAGCTGAGTGTCACGGCTGCCTCCGTTAGAGTCGTATTAGAATCGGCCTTTGCACTGTTCTGCCCGTAGCCGACGACGCTGAACGTCATGTTTAATGTGATGTAAGTCTGCAGGTCGTCCACCGTGTTCTTCTTGGGCAGGTTGATCGGGGCGACATTTTTCAATATATTGAAACTATCCTTCACTCTGACAACTGCCAGGTTGTAGTCGTAAATGGTCTCGCGTGCTCTGCACTCCGGGTGTAACATGATGTCCAGTATAGGGAAGTTGACCGCGTTCTGGTAACGGTCCTTGCAAAGTGCGCAGATCAAATATTCTTGGACCCTTTTACGGATTTGTATGTTCTCTTCTGCCGAAAAACATTGACAGCTGCTCAAGACGTGAAAATCGCTTATTATAGCTCCACCGCATTCGTGGTCTTTATGGGTGTAATCTGTTACGGATACGGCAAAAGGGTAAAAATCTATTTCAGTTGGAACACTCGCATATAAGCCGTTCGCAGGTGCCCTTAATACTGCACATAAAAATATTCCTGCAAAAGGCAATTGATTCATCAGTTTTTGCTGCTTTGCAGTACAAATTCACTCAAGTAGTGCGTATTATCGAGTTTGGATATTTTTAATGAAGAAAACCTGGTGACTGCTTCTTTCTCAATTTTGAAACAGCAGTAAATATCCTATAAATCATCTGTGTAATAGTGGACACATCGATAATTTCATTACGATTGAATTGCTACAATTATACATCAAAACAGCTGAGTAATAGATAGTTACTCATTTCTGGAAAATAATATACTTACATTGCGTATCATCTGTAGTTTTGTAACTGTAGAGGTGTAAAGAGAGTGCCAGTGAAATGGATTGTTTTGTTGGATTGTGTAATTGTATTTACCGGTGGTTGGCTTGTATTTAGTGGTACAATTAAAGGTTTTATGAGAAACAAATGAAAAAAATTAAGGTTGAAGTTTAAGATGGTATATTGATATAAAGTAATTGTAATTAAGAAACGAGGAATCGAGGGCTATCTACGCCAGGAGACAAAGTACAAATCGGCTAGTTCTCAAGGTGGGTCAAAACTCAAATTCTTTCTGGCACTGGCAAGGGGTGCTTGATCTTGTGAACGTTGAAGCATACAAAATTCACCTACCCGCTTGCTTACACGGGGGAAACATTATACACAATGTAGTAGACTCTCGATTAACCGAGATCCGGTTATCCGAGTTTTAGGTTAATAGAGTTAAAATTTTCAATCGATGTTTTCGGATTAAACTCTGTAAAAACCTCGGTTAACACCTAGTAATCCGATATTTTAAAAAAATTAAAAGCGCATATTAAATATGTATGTAAACTAAACTAATAAAGCCATCGTAAACCCAGTTACGATAATATCTGGTACTGGATTTCCTAGATTCTCTGTTGAGTATTCACAGACCACGTCCGTTTGTTGGAGGTAATCTTTTTCCCAAATTGCCAGATCTATTTTACGACACTTTGCCACTCAAATCACTCACCAACGTCCCATTTCAATTTTGAATTTGAAAAATGGCAAAAAGTAGAGAAAATTCGAAAGGTGGGTTGAGATGGGAAGTTGGTGTCCGAGTGGATCGAAGTCACGATAGCTCAAGTGGTAGAGCAGTGGCGTATTTAGCCGAAGATCGTGGTTTCGAATTCCGCTCGTAACACTGACTTTTTTCTCAACCAATAACTTACACAAAGATTAATTAATACAAAATAATTTATACAAAATATTACTGCCTAAAACATCTAACTTTAAAGAAACGGAGCGTGTGCTGCCTTCTTGGCGGTTGAGACGTGATTGCACAAGTTGACGACTTGAGAAAAGGCGCAAAATTGCAAAGGCGACCTGTAAACACTGGTGCTCGTAGCAACCGAAAGCGTAAACATTTGGTTCCCGTAGCAACGGGACGCGTAAACTTCGTTCCCCGTGGCAACGAGACCAAACAAATTCTAACTTAAAAAGAAAGTTACAATTTTAATTCAGACGAAAACATTCTCCAACCCAGCTTTTTAGTTTTCTATTCTTTTATGTGTTTTCTCTTTTTATTTCAGTATAAAATTAAACATTGATCAGTGTACGTAAGTGAAAATGGCTGAGCGCGAAACCAAACGAAAACAGGTTTTGATTTCAATTGAAAAAAAAAAAAAAAAAAACTGGCAATTAAACGAGCCGATGAAGGGGAGAGTTTAAGGAATATCGCTGCATTTTATGGTGTCTCAGAGACGACTGTAGGCGATTGGCGTGGGAACCGTGGAAGCATTCGCGCTACAATCGTGTTCAACACGGCCGACCGGAAGTCGATCATGCCTCCGGAGTGCCCATTGACGAATGAGGCTATCTTTTTGTGGTTCGTTCAACAGAGGAGCAAAGGAATAAGTTTTTCTGGTCCGATTATCAAAGAAAAAGCCATGATATTAGCTAAAAAATTCCCCACAGAAACTGAAAAAATTCAAGGGAGTGAAGGTTGGTTATCCCGGTGGAAAACTAGATACGGCATTCGACAGATAAACATTTCGTGAGCGGAGCTTTTTTTGGTAAATTTTTTGATTCTAGAAACGCACTTACTTTTGGTATAAATTGTTCATTGAACCATTTTCGAAAAAGGTTAGAATCCATCCAGGCACTTTTTTGATCTTTGTAAAAAACTGGCAGATCAGTGGGATTGATATTTTTTAATGCTCGTGGTTTTGCCGATTTACCTATCACCATCAAAGGTAGAAGGTGATTGCCAGAAGCGTTGGCACAAACCAAAACAGTTATTCTCTCTTTGTTTTGTTTGTTACCAGACAAATCACCCTAAAGTTTGCTGGCCAACGTCTTTGACGGTAAATTTTAAAATTTAGACCTGTTTCATCGCAGTTATAGATCCGGTCCAAACAATAATCTTCTTATGTGAAGAAAGAATTTATTTCTTCACAGAAATTTTCAGCAGCTTGTATCCAGACATCGTTGGATGATTATTTTTAAAAAATTTAAAATTATAATAAGTGTTGTGTGGTTTTCTCTTATTTCTTTTTTTTTAAACAATGTATATATATATGTATGTATGTATGTATGTATGTAAAAATAAAAGTAAAAAACATTAAAGATGGAGAAGGTGTATTAAATTATCATAACGTAGCGGGAATAGAAATCCCACAATGCTTAGTAAAAATTAAAAATAATGAAGCATTTTGTAAAATGTACAACTCAAAGGATACTAGCATTAAATTAACAATAACACCAATCGTGGTAAATAATCTAGAAGACTACGAAATTAAATCACGGCATACTGGTTCAAAAACTAATAATAATTTTAACATACTCGGAACAACAAAGAAACAAAAATTAGGTTTAGATCATGTAAACACAAACAATTTTAAACAACACTGGGAAAAAATCCGCACAGAACATATGAACACCGAAGAAAAAGAAATGATTATGAAACTGGTGGATAATGGACATATTTTATGAAGAAGGTACGCCACTTACATTTAGCAATAAAGTAAAGCACATCATACGTACAAGGGACGAAATTCCCATATATACAAAATCGTACAGATATCCTGACGTTCATAGAGAGGAAGTCAATAGACAAGTTAAAACAAAAAATTATCAGACCTTCTTATTCTGCATGGAATTCACCAATCTGGATAGTTCCAAAAAAAATTGGATATGTTTGGAAGACAGAAATGGAGAATAGTAATTCACTACCGGAAACTGAACGATAAAACAATAGATGACAAATATCAAATTCCTAACATTACTGAACTACTCGACAAATTAGGGAGATGTCAGTATTTTACCACCAAAGATTTAGCATCAGGTTTTCACTAAATCGAGTTGGATGAAAATAGCATTCAAAAAACGGCATTTTCAACAGAACAGGGCCACTATGAATTTCTTCGTAGCCCTTCGGTCTAAAAAGTAGTCTACCAACCTTTCAAAGGGCAATGGACAACATACTTCGAGGCACAAAAAATGCTATAGTATATTCAGACGATATACTAGTATTTAGTACCAGTCTTAAAGAGCACATGGAAACGTTAAAGGAAGTTTTCGAAAAACTTAGAGGTGCTAATTTTAAAATACAACCGGACAAAACGGAATGTTTAAAACACGAAGTAGATTATTTTGGTCATGTCGTTACTCCGGAAGGTGTTAAACCGAATCCAAATAAAGTACGAGCTATCCAAGAATATCCCCTTCCCAAAACAATAAGAGAAATTAAAGCATTCCTCGGTCAAGTCGGGTACTATAGGAAATTTATACCCGACTTTGCAAACATAACGAAATCCCTTACACACTATCTAAAAAAGGAGCGAAAATTAACATCAACGAACCATCTTATATTAACAGTTTCAATCTTTGTAAAAGTATATGAATGATCCAATTTTAAAATACCTCGATTTTTCTCGTCAATTCATATTAACGACCGATGTGGCGTTGGGCGCAGTTTTGTCCCAAAATTGTGATGGAAAAGAATTGCCTATAGCTTATGCTAGTAGAACTCTCTGTGAGTCTGAAACAAAATTGTCGACAATAGAACGAGAATTACTTGCAATTGTCTGGTCAACAAAATATTTTAGGCCATATTTGTTCGGTAGGAAATTTGTTATACAGATCGATAACAGACCATTACAATGGCTGTTTTCTATGAAAGAGCCGAATTCTAAATTATTACGTTGGCGACTCAAACTGGAAGAATACAATTACGAAATTAAATACAAAACAGGAAAAGAGAACAAGGTAGCTGATGCTCTTTCGAGAATAGAATTGAATTACATGAAACCGGTGACGAAGTAATAGACGAATTAATTAGAGACTTTTATTTACAAAACCCAGATCTCGAACCCGATAGATTAAATTTTGAAAACGAATCTAATGTAAATCTAGAAAATGAATCCATCGTGGTCAATGTAGATGAACTTGATGGAAATGTAGATGAAAACATCTATGATGACGATGCGACGGTATATTCCAACGGAATTGGAAATACGGTTACGAATATACCGATTATTGAGGGTCCGGTTAATTTCGGTAAAAATCAAATAATAATTTCAAAAGTCGAATTTAATCCGGCAAAACCCAAAATTATTAAGTTGTTCGGGAATTCAAAAACAAGAATAAGGGTCAAATTTTCAAAGAACGATTTCACTAATGACGTTATTAAATTTATAAAAGAATTCATCGTGCCTAAAACAGCATATTGTATTTCGAGTCAGACTTATACGAAAAATTTGCGAAAGTAATAATGGAGGTATTCACTTATTCAGAACTAAAGTTTTTTAAATGTACAGAAAAACGTATCGACGTTTTAGAGGAATCCGATATCAATGAAATTATAGAGAAATATCATATTTCAAAAACAAATCATAGGGGCATCACGGAAACGGAAAGTAGAATTAAACGTATATATTATTGGCCTAATATTAATAAGTCTGTACAGGAATTTATTAATAGATGTGAAGTATGCCTTTTAACGAAATACGATAGACAACCCCTGAATTTAAAGTACAATTTGACTGCGACACCAAGCAGACCTTTTGAGATTGTTCATATTGACACAATTACGCTAGAGAATAAAAAGTTTTTAACAATAATAGACACTTTTTCTAAATTTGCTCAAGCCTACAAAATAGAGTCGAATCAAGCCATCGAAATAGTGAATAAATTAATAAATTTTTTACATCGTACCATGTTCCAAAGCCTATTGTGTCAGATAACGGGCTGGAATTTAACAACAGTCTAGTCAGGGAATTACTATCGCTACATAGTCGAGTTGCATTTCACAACTTCTCAACACACGGAGTCAAACGGCTCTGTAAAAAGATTTCATTCTACCCTCATCGAGCATATCCGATTTTTTAATAATCAACAAGAATTCATGCATGAAGATATCGAAAACAAAGTAAATTTGGAGTATAATCACTCGCTTCACTCAGTAACAAAATTAAAACCTATTGAAATTATCAGTGGGCATTTACAGAACGAATCTATTTTTAAAATCAATTTAGAACAACAAATTTTAAGTAACTGTCAGTGATCATAAAAAGAAAATAGATTTGTTATATAAAACGATCAATGAAACTTCTTTAGCCCATAAAGAACTTATTATCGAAAAACGAAATGAAAACAGAATAGAAATACCAGAAGTAAATATACCGAACGAAGTTTTTGTGAAAGTCAAGCAAAACCAGTGTGAAAAGCATCAGCAAATAAAAACAAACGAAAAACAAGGCTATAATACAAAAAAAAAAAAAGCCAAACAGAGAATAAATACAAAAAGGAGAAAATAAAATTCATAAATAAGAATCTAAAAACTGCCGAAATCATCCCAAGTCATCACAACACAATAGACAAACTACACATATCAAACATTAAAAGACCAAGAAAATTAACAAATTCTCGCGACATTCCAGGTTCTTCCCACTCCTCTTCTGGACCATAACCAGAGGAATCAACATAATTGATATTACAAACGGCATTGGCATAATTCCTGTAAACCTTGGATTGGCAAAGTTGGAAATTTCTGAACATACTTTTATACATTATTTTAGACTAAGGGAATTGTTTAATCAATTAGATTATTTGGAAGAATTTTATAACCATGTATCGAGGATTGTCTACTCTATGAACCATGCCAGTCTACTGTTTATTGGTCAAAGCCTCAGCTTATGGAGTCTTCACATGGTATCGTCAGCGGAGACAACCCTTGGCCATAGCAACCCCTATCAATCAGCCACCCCCGGGAGCTTTATTTGGGCATGGAGGAGTTACGCCTGCACAAAACTATTAATTNTATATATATATATATATATCCAAAATAAACATCTTTTTGTGTAAAATGTGTTTTTAATTAATTTTAATTTCATTTTTTTTTTAATTCGGATTATCCGAGGTAGGTCTGGTCCCGACCACCTCGGTTGATCGAGAGTCTACTCTAATAAATATTAGAATAAAAGAGACTTTTGAAAAACTATTTGTCATTCGTTATTTTTTCAGCGTCCAAATACTGTTTAAACCATATTTTCAGGAAAAAATAACATTTTGATTTGACTTTAAAACAATTTATCGAAACGAAAGTGGTATTAGTAGGCTAATGCACTCAAAATGATTAAATTTGATGAAATTAACAAAAAAATGAATTCGCCAACACTGTTACATGTTGCACGTGGCAAGGGATTTGGCCGTTGTCTGTATAAGAATTTAACTCTTCCTTATAAAGATTTAATTCGTAGGCCAAAGGCTTCACCAGTTGCGGGCCCCGTTTTATTTATTTAACAGCTTCGACCCATGTTGAGGGAGGAAAAACCGTCGCTTTACATTCTTTCACCCTTCTAAATAGACTGGCTTTGTTGTTAGCTGTAAATATTTCTAGAAAAACAATTGGAAAACTCAGTGTTTACTCCTGAATTTAAATTGTATTTTTGTTTTTAATTTAAATTAGTTTGTTTGGTCTCGATGCGTCGGGAACGAATGTTTACGCCTCCCGTTGCTATGGAAACCAAATGTTACCTCCCACAAACGGACAAGGTCTCTGAATACCCAACACTAGACTTGGTTGTACTCGTCGCATAACAAAATCCGTAAAGAATGATTAATTACCTTTGAAATGTGGTTGCGTCATCATGTTTGCTGTTTTTTTTCTCCATCATAGAAAAATTTATGTTGTATAATGGTTATCGGATTTAAATAATTCTCCGTGACCTTTAATGACAATCTATTGAAGAGTTAATTGTTCTGACTATGCCACACGCGAAAAACACATGGCTTCACTGTCCCTGCGCAGTTACCCAGATGTTACAGTCATTAACGGATCCGCTTCATAGAGATTGGTCAGGATTACGTTTACCTAGGTTTTCGTAGTAAATGCATGTTACTGTTTATCGGAATTTCCTTGATTTAGCAGGAGGGCTCAGCCTGTCGAATGAAGGTTCTCTTGTAAAACAGGTATTAATCTA